CCTTCCCCGCCCGGAGCCATGTCCTCCGCCGCTCGTTTCGATTCGTCGGACCGCTCCAGCTGGTACGTGGGCCCGGTGTCCCGGGCGGAGGCGCAGACGCGGTTGCAAGGGCAGCGGCATGGCATGTTCCTGGTGCGGGACTCGTCCACCTGCCCGGGGGACTACGTGCTCTCCGTGTCCGAGAACTCCCGGGTTTCCCACTACATCATTAACTCCTTGCCCAACCGCCGCTTTAAGATCGGCGACCAGGAGTTTGAGCATCTGCCTGCCCTACTGGAGTTCTACAAGATCCACTACCTGGACACCACCACCCTCATCGAGCCTGCGCCCAGGTGAGTGCCACCCTCCCTCCCTCCGCCCCACCTACTGCCATCTTCCCTCGAGGTGGCGCAAGGCGGGGGGTGTCTCAGTCCAGCCTAGCAGCTCCAGGATCTTAACACTGGATGTAGGGCCGTATACTAAGGGAACATTTGTTTATGGCCCTCCTTTGAAGCGGTCTCTAACAGCAGTTCTTCTGAGCAGTCTGGATCTCAGTGACCATTACAGGTTGCTTTCAGTCAAACCATCCAGGCCACGGGGCCTGTTCTTACAGAACGTATGGGCACACGTGAAGGTACTGTGTACATCTCTACCACCCACTATAATTGTCTTGCAAGAGGGTGTGGCCGTGCTTTGTGTCAACCTTTTCTTCTGGTATTGTCCTTCTGTTCTAGGATGGTTGAGAAGCTGGTTCACAAGTCTTCTCAGTGGTTTTAGTACAGCCTCTGAGCTTAAGTTGCTGTCTGCCCTTGCATCCGCACTGATTACAATAGAACAGGCCTCTCTGTGATTAGACTGCTTCACCCTGTTAAGTCAGCTTTAGTACATTCTAGTACAGCATTTCCCAAACTTCTAGAATGGCATTTCCACATGCCAAAAAAATGTAAAACATTTATTTTTCACAGTTTGGTTATGGCACTGTTCATCTATATCTGCATACACTACACTGAGAAATGCTATTCTAGGAGGATGGGAAAATGTGACTTGGCTGTGAGCTCATTCTTTGTCCCATTCCCAACATGGGTCATACCTGCAACTTGCATCAGTAAACTGCTTATCAAGAACTCTAGAACATATTCCTTATTTTTAATTAATAAAGCCTTTCCCAGTATCTTATTTCAAAGCTTTTGGACTTCGTGGATAGAATGACGTGAAATAAAAACTAGAAAAATAGTGACACATTAAAAAAAAATTCAGATTGGTTCACTTTTAAATTCTGCAGTTTAAATTCTCACTGTTTTGCAGAATAGCAACTTCTTAGTGGGGAAGAATAACTTTGAGGTTTATAGTCACAATCTAACCTTGGTACAGGGCAGTTCTTAATGACAATCAGTAACTTGTCAAAGGTTGACAATAGCTTTTCAAGTTGAAAAACTCAAGTGGTCAAAAAAAGTCTTTCTGTGAAGCTTTCTGGTGATGGGAGGAATGTGACAGAAAGCACTAGCTTCAAGAACTCTTAAAGTTGCTGAGAACTCTTCTGCGTAGTGATTGTGCTGTGGCTAGAGAGATGGGTAAGGAAAAAAAAAAAGTCAATTCCACTGCTGCAGGAACACTTAAATGGAATTGGCTAATGTTATGTGCATGCTTAAACTTGTGGACAGTTGGGAGGAAAAAAGCTGACACTGAAGCAATCTTTATGCTTACCTCTGTTCTCCTTAACCTGGATAGTGTTGTACCCTTCTGGATGTAAATCTTGTTCTTAATCATTTATGGCAATGACTGACTTGGCTTTCTCAAAGCACTTAAACTTAACTGATTCCACTTGCTCACTTGGTATTGTCAGGAGTCTTGTATGAAATATTCTATGAACATTTTAGTACCACCTTATTTTCAAGGTTTTGACTGCTATTGTTCTCTCAGAGACAGATGGGACCTAGCCTACTGTGAACTGACAAGCTTTCTTATAAAGCAACAAACGGGATTGACTAGGTGGTTTTCCTTAGCATATTTGTTCTAAACTCTTTTTGAAAAATCAATGACATGGTTGATGGTTTGAAATTGGTTGAAATCCTACTGCAAGGAAGATGAGAGGTAGCGTTTCTGGATTTTTTTTTATAGTTAATGGATTAGATTTAGAATAGGAATGGACAGGTATGTGCTTCAGAACTGTTATTGATAGTTCTTATTTCTCTTGCATTTTCAGGGGAACATTGTACTCAGGTGCTTGTGCTTTTGAAGGCTGATTCTTTTAATTTCAAAGTACAGTATGAAGAGGTGTTTTTTGTGTTAGGAATAGTTTCTTATATATAACCATGACAGTTTTAGCTCTTGGAGATGATATTTTAAACTTGTAAAACAGTTGAAAGCTGACTGTTCTAAGCTTTCTATTTGTGTGGGGTTTTTTGCTGTGGTGTGGTGTTTTTGTTTTTTTTTTTTAATCAGTGGTGAGCTCTGACCATCATTGCAGATGTTCCTGAGCTTATGCAGAGTGACTGCTCTCTGAAGGGTTCCCCCTCTCCCACAGCTTTGGCTGCAGCAGGGTGTCTGTTTAGGGCTTCTGCCATATCTTGCAAAAATCATAGGAATTTGACTTCCATCTTATTTTGCAAGTAGCAAGAGAGAATTGAAGTAGGCTAATGACATGCATTCTTTCTATCGTAGCTTAGGTAATAAATATCTGCTATGGCCTATATACATTAAGATTTTTGAAAGCTGCTTTCAGTAAAATGTATAAAGGTTATGTTGAAAATAGACTGCAGTGAAAGTAGTCTTGTTTGATGAACAATCTTGTATTATCGCAGACAATAAAGTGACTGTATTGGACAGATGATGGGCAAAGTAATAAACATGATGTGAATAAATTAGAGGTAATATTATGGTTAATAAGGGAAAGGATGGCTAACCATTCTAGACGGTTAGCTTTTTCATTTCATACTCCATTCTTGCCAGTGGTCAAGTTATTTCATATTGTCTCTTATGAAAAGTCAGGTTGAAGTTATTAGGTATTTAAATATGCAGTCAAGATAAGTACTTTGATATTTTTTCTGTTATATTATATAACAACCCTTTGAGAGTTGATGTAAAAATAAGATTAGGGAGCTCAATTCTGTATGATTTTCCAGAAAAAAAGGGGAAGTGTTATCTCCTAAAAAACACAGAATCTGCCTATCCATTTTCTTAACGAAAAGAGTTTTCAGTATAAATGTGACTGGCTGTCCCCAAAATTCTTCATTTAAGTAGTAGGATTTGGTTAGAAAGATGATTTACTACCAATCAGAAAGACAACATTGGACTTCTAGCTTTTAGTTAGGAAACTAAGGTTTTATCATACCCTCCTCTTGCTTATGTTCCCTTTTTCCACCATGCTCCCTCAAGTCTAGCATTTAGAGTTACTGAATTCTTTAGAAATGGATGCTGAAGTTAAAAGTGTGGATATGATGAACTGAAGAGGATTATTTAGTTCTCACCGCAAATCACTCAATTTTTCTTTTATTTTAAGTATTGCCCCTCTACCCCAAGTCACCCAAATAATTGTAGTTTGTTTTTATGTATCATGACTCTCATAACTTAAGCTATAGAATTAATTTTATTCTCCCTAAGATCCTCATGACAATCCAGAACAGATAAATGAAGATTTTGCATTATTTTGCCCATTTTTCTGCGTCCATGATAGATTTTTATTGGGTTTCTGGGGAAGCTAATTTGGGTATTTAAGTAATTGGCTGAGAGCATGAGTTACTCATGAAAAGCCTCACAGTGCGACCAAGGTAATAGTTTTGTTACAAAGGTGAATAAGTAATTCTCTTCTAATTGGTGTTCCTCCTGTAAAACTGGTACTTAGCTTTGTTACTGGAAGTACAAAACAATAGCTATTGATTATATAAAATCTTTTTAAAACTTAGGTATCCAAGTCCACCAATGGGATCTGGATCTGCCCCTGCTATGCCCACTGCAGAAGAAAATGTGGAATATGTTCGGACTCTCTATGACTTTCCTGGCAATGATGCTGAGGATCTTCCGTTTAAAAAGGGTGAGATACTGGTAATCGTAGAGAAGCCCGAAGAACAGTGGTGGAGTGCCAGAAACAAGGATGGTCGGATTGGCATGATTCCTGTTCCTTATGTAGAAAAGCTAGTCAGATCTTCTCATGGGAAGCATGGAAACAGGAATTCCAACAGTTATGGTATTCCAGAACCTGCCCATGCTTATGCTCAGCCTCAAACTGCAAGTCCCCTTCCTGCAGTATCCAGTACACCTGGAGCAGTGATCAATCCTCTGCCATCAACACAGAATGGACCAGTCTATGCCAAAGCTATCCAAAAGAGAGTACCCTGTGCTTATGACAAGACAGCGCTGGCATTAGAGGTAAGTTTTTCCTCTCCAGTATTACAGTTTTCAATTGTTTTGTAAAATAAGAAACTAAACAAATGTTAGTGGTAAAGTTGGTGTGGATGACTTCATATGGAGTTTGCTTATCTATGTCAAGGGACTGAGAAGAAGTTAGGTTACATTCTGAAGAAAGATCTACAAAAATTGCTTCATCTATACCACTTCCTTTGAGAAAAGTGACCAGGTTACTTCAGGACCTGTATTTACCCTCTCTTCTTGCACATTCAATGGTGCAAATACTTTACCAGGGTAGCGGAGTGTATACATCCTGCTGTGGAAGTAAGTGCTAGTGAGAGGATGACTTTGCTTCTCCACCTAATCTTAAAAAAAAGGTGTTTCATTAATCATCGCAGTATTCCGGGTTGAGAACTGGCAATAGCATCCTTCAGAGACAGGTAAGGATTGCTGATAAGTATAGGCTTTCTGACCCTCAACTGTCATATGAGATGCACTTGAGTATCTGTTGCAGAAGTACTCCAGTCTCTTTCACTTTGGTTTTCAAAAGTGGAACTGAGAGACTTTAAGACCTAAATGGGTGGCAAGGGGGTTAGATGAAAAGCTGTAGTGAAGCCTCTAAACTTGTGTTGAATGTTTAATAAGTTCCTGTGCTTGCTGAAGCATTTTTTTTATTTTATTAGGGATATCTGTAAGACTTTAGAGCTTTATTCTTTAAATGGTAAAGAATTCATGTTACAATTCTAGTCTAACTAGCATAAAGGATGGATTGGAAGAAGTTTTTAAAGCTACATCCAGAACACTGAGACATACTTTTACACTTAGATTATACTGAAGGCCCATAGTTTAACCCATAGTTCAAAAATATCTCACCTGGAAAAAAGGCTAGTCTCAAAAATTAAATTTGAGCATGCTACAATACTTATAAGAGCAAATGCAAAGAAACAAGCAAAGGAAGCAACAGCATTTTAGCAATTTAAATAACCGTGGTTTTAAAAACCCTTTTGAACTTTTCCTGTTGCTCAATTACTTTGCAAGTTAAAGCTGCTACCTATAGCTGATACTTTTGACTGAAATTTGAAAGGTTATGAGTTCTAGTTACTCATAGTAGTTGCCCTAAGTGGTCTTCCTTCTGTATTTGTAAAACCTCTACAGGTGATTACTCTTACAGTTAGAAGTTAAATCTGTATCACTGGATTTTCCTTGAGTTCTGAAAGCTATCAGCTTGTTATTTGTGAGCAGTGTGTGAAAATTATCATAGAGCAAAGTGTAAATTCACTGCCAGCTACACTGTACAGAAGATTCCTGCCAAAACTACTCAGGCTTCTGAAAACAAAGCAAGGCAAGCGATTGATTTTGTTATGTTATCAATGCGTCATGGAATTACTTCAGGGAACTTGGCTTTGCTGCAGGGTGGCAGAACCGTTTGGAAGGGTGGTCCTCACAAGTAGATTTTTCTGACTTGCTCTTTAGTCACTGAGTTAATCCTGTCATTTTAGCTCATCTGGTATACCAGCAGGATTAATTCTCTGACCAACATGAAGCGTCAAAACAATTCAAACCTACAAGTTGCTGAAGTTTTGCTTGAGAGATTCTTCTCTTCAACCAAATTGTAATCACTTATTGCCTCATGTCTTTGTCTTCCACCACTGGCATATTTTGTCTCCTGTGTAGTCTGTTTTCTTTGCAAGTGCACCTTAGCCATACTGTGGCTTCTCAAGAGGCTGCAGAAATAGAAGGCTGGGAACTGATCTACATTTTCATTAAAATCAGTGATTACAGCTTCTCCATATCTACCCATGCGTAAGGAACTTTAGCGACCTCATTACAGCAATATTTTTTTTGTCATATGTATTACTCAAAGAAAAAAAAAAATCCAGCTTCTTTTCATGATCTTCATTCAGATTGCCTAACACCTGCTGGGCCTCAGTGATGTATTTAATGCCAACCTTGTCAGGGCTCCACCTGTCACTGAATAACCTGGACCACTTGAAGCTTCTATTTTGTAAGAGCACTGAAAGTAGCTAGCAATGGGGAAAGAACAGGTTATGGGAATGTTTTGGGGAAGAAAGTTAATGGTGTTCTTTCAGAATAATAGTATTTGGCAGTACTCCACCTTAGTACAGGTGTACTCTAAATCACAGTGCAGCTTGTACAGGCAGAACACCTTGTTTGTAGAATTATACAGTGCCTGATTGTGTAATCCCATTTAAACTGATAAAACAATATGGAGCAAAATATGTGTTTGCTGGCTCTAGCTTGGCATGATCAGCACACAGACAGTACTTCCAAGGAAGAGAATCCCATCTGGAGTTAAGTAAAGCTATTGTGTAGTAATATGCTCGACTTCCTTTTAAGTGGAGGGATGTCATTCTCCTGGGTTCAGCTTGAAAATGGGACAAGTTCTCTGGTTGCAAGTCCAGTTTTTCTATTTTACACTATTGTTTACATAAGCTGTCAGAAATCTTCTTTAAGAAAAGATAAAGATTTATAGCCTGTTACAGAGAAATTTGTTTTGTAAGGTATACTTTTTAAAAAATTTCTCACATGAAAAATTTAGCTTGTAAAACAAGTGAATATTCGGAAAATCTGAAACAAGATCTGTTTGGTTGGATAATAGAATGTTTAACTTTTAAATAGTATTGAAAGTATGACAGTTTAAGGGCAACTACAATGTTGTTCCTGTAAGGATTCTAGTTAATACGGCATTTATTATAATTTGGACCATGTTGGGCTAAAGTTATTTAGCAATCATATTAGTATTATTGAAATAACTAATTTCTAACTGTTGACTTGGTCCTACTGCATTATATGTTCTTTTATCCTCTAAAATAAAAAATAGTAATCTATTTGTAGGCTAAAATAAAAGTTTTAAGTGTAGCTATCATCTCAAAGCATACAGTTGCTATACATATACCTTTGGACATCTCCTTGCACCAGTGAACTATTAGTAAAGCCCATGGTTAATTATATGTACTTCTAAGATTTACGCATACTGTTGTCAGTTAGGTCAGTTACCTTGGCAGTTCAGATTTAATGTTTTTAATGAAATGATTGAAGTCTGCACTTTCTCACTGCAACCAACTAACTTTACTACTACTGTGTAGTATTTTCCTGGATACTGCATTAAAAAAAACCCTCAAAACAACCAAACCACAAAAAAAACCAAACCAAAACACCAGCCACCCCAATCTGTTGCTTTACTTGTGTGCTTTTAGCCAAGAAGCAATTTCCTTCCTTCCTGGTGCTCTAGAGGAAGGAATATGAAGGACAGGGATACAGTGTCCTGCATTTGCTGGGACTAGAACTCTATATTACAGGGTTACGTGCTGCTGTTCTTCAGTCCTTTTCTTTGGGAAAACTAGGAGGGCAATCCTGTGTTCAAAGGATGTACAGCACTTTAAGGAGGTGATGAATTTTGTAAGAGCAGATTCTTTGGCACTGTGAATATGATACAGAGCAGCAAAGTCAACCTTAAAGTTTCTCAGCATTTAACCTGTAGTTCTATAGCCAGCCTGTTCACAATAGTTGCCAGTGAAGCCTCGTTTTAAATTGCCACGCTCTAACCAGCATGTGAAGTGTGTGCAGTGCCCAGGAGACTAGGACTGGTATGTTTTACCTTAAAGGAACTTATCTCTCGGTAGTTGGGTACTTCTTGTTTGCATCCAAATAATTGATTGATTGCTAACTTCTGCACAATAAAGTTAATCACATCCAATGCAGTCAGTAGATAAACTAATGGTGGGTAATTCCCTTAAAAATTAGTGAACTATTTGACGTTTGATTCAGGATACGAACAAAAAATTCCCGATTCACTTATTGGAATGAAAGTGGGAGACCAGTAGCAGCCGCTACACTTATGTCCGTCATGTGTTTAAAACATGTTTCTTAAATATTATTGCAAGCAGTGTAATTAGTGTGATAGACCATTTTGAATATAGTAGTAGCCCTAGAGTACATCTCCAGACTTAACATGACAGTGTTATGAAATCTGAAGATTTTTTTTTTTTTAAAACAAGAGCTTTGCTATACTTCTATAGCAAAGTTTTTATACTAATGATGGCTTTTTCTAGACCTGTGCCAGTATTATAGTATTAAGTAGTTTATCTGTTCATGATATATCAAACATGTACATGTTTGCTAGTAGAGAATTAACCTGTCACGGAGACTTTTTGCTGAAATAAATACCTATTCACCGTAATTATATAACTGACTTAAAATATTTCTCTTGAGTTTGTTACAATTAGGTTACAGTTAACTTTTTTCCTCTTCAAAGGTTGAGACAAGTAGGCCAAAATGTGCTGGTAGTAGAACTTTCTTAATTAGGAAATTAGGCTACTTCTTTAAACAACAAGCATTGTGCTTTTCTTAAGCCAAGGAAACTTAGTATTGCTGGCTAAACATCAAAGTGCCTCTAAGCCACAAGGTCTATATTTTAAGCAAAATTGAGAGCCTATACTTGTGTAGTGTGAAGTGTTGATCAAGGAGCTTTAGTTCTGATAACTATTGAATTGAAAGTGACACTGGCAGGAGGATTCCTGTGTCTGTGTTGACATGCACCAACTTTTCAGTGTGCTGCCTTTGAAAATGTAACTGACAGTTATTTCAGAGATTGTGTGTGTAATCTTAATCTGTGTAACTTCCTTTTCCAGTCAAAGTTATTTATGGTTCCCATCAGGATAGTGCTTAGTGCCTCACGATTTAATATACATTCACCCTCAGAAGTGTGTGTGGAGTTTGTTTCCAGGTGAAACTGAAAGTGCCATGGATAACCTAGACAAGATCCTGTGCTACAGTGAGATGCAAGAATGATGGTCTGTGGGAATTTTGAGCTCTGCAGACTCTGTACAGTCACGACAGCTGGCTTAATCAGATGGAGACAGGCTGCCATCATTCACTGCAGAGCAGCACGTTACTGTGGTGCTGCAACCCCAGCTCTGGCAATTGCCATAGCTATATTTGAAGTGCAAACTTATGTTGTTTTGTGCTGTTCCTAGATGATGCTAGATCAATTGCATCTAGGACTTCAAAATTTCTGTGCTGCCCTTTGACCCACTTTCGTGTCTCAAGGATGGTTGAAGGTCTTTCCTCTGAACTGCTTGATTCTCTGGTGTGGGCATTAACTATTATTCTTCTGGCACACATCATCAGAAGCAAAGGATAATTAAACTGTGCTTTCAGCCCATTGGTTTCTTTAATCTTCTAATACATAAAGCACCAGCTATTTCAGTGTCACATCCTGTTTGCAGTGCGACTGAACTCCGCCTCTTTTGTGTAACTCAGCTTTATACCTTTCGGGGACAATGGGATATGAAGTAATTGAACCTTTTTTATTCTTCTCCAGAACAGACAGCTGGTCTGAACAAATTGTTTAGGTTTTGGTACTAATGGTGTTACCAAAGGTGAGTTGTGACACTAGTTAGGATAATGACTGAGATTCAACACCCCATCAATTCCAGAGAGCAATATGTTTTCTATAGCTATTGACCCAGTGGGATAAAATGATGACCTAGAGTTTTAATGCATTTTTATCTCCTTAAAACTTATATTGCAGAACTCTATCAGCCATAGAACTATGAATATACAATTGTTGGAATATTTGTAAAACACATTGAATTAGCTGTGTGACAAACGGTCTGCATGAAACCTTTTGCAGTGTATGAATAAGCTTCAAATGGAAGACAGGTATGGAAGAGTCTAGAGTCATGTTCCACAGCTTCTATTTCCCCAGGGCTTTGAATTCATGCTGTAAGAGGGACATAATGAAAGGATGCTACCTAAAATACGTTTTGGTTTTTATCATTTGGGTGGAACCCAATGGTTGCATTTCAGAAGTATTACTCATTTCAGCAGTCGATACTTCCATCCAGTGATGCTGGCATGCTTTACAAATGAATTAACTGATCTGGGAGATGCTGAGACTAAGGAAGTGTTATTCTAATTTATAGATAAGGGTCATGAGCTGTCCAGAGTCATACAGGAAGTCTGTGGCAGAGATGAGAACAGAACCACGTCTCCTGACTCTGTCCTGTGCCTAATCATAAGACAATCCTTCTGACTGGCCTAAAATGTTCTCTGAAAAAAATAGTCTATTAAATAATTTTAGTGGGAGATCACACCTCAGCTGACCATATTATAGATGCTTTAAAAAGCATTTACCAAATACTGCTTTTAGTTAGTACTTCAGGAAGAAATACATGAAGGGACTACTTGACCAGATTCTTCCAGACATTGCCAAAATTGAGGTCATTAACGTAAGAGCCATCAATTATTCTATCATCATATAAAGGTTCCTTCTCTAAAAATCTTCTTTCAACATGCTGTTCCATTTAAATCTTCTCAGGGGAACTGCATTTTTTTAATAACACAGCACAAGAGGATATTCATCATCTTTCATTAAAAGAAAAAAGTACTCTCAAAAATAATATGAAGTAATTGCAAATCAATTTACTATTCCAATGGTTGTTGGCATATGGGAGTATTTTTTTGAGTAGCTTTTGTCAGCTAGCACTCTCCAATAGCAACTAATGATTGTAGCACCTTTGCCCAGCCAGCAGGCTACAGAACATTTTACATTGTTCATCTAAGGAGCAGTTTGTTGCAATGCAGTAGGCTTACATTGTAAACATTTTTTTATTTTTTTACTCAGCTGAAGGAAGACTCCCAAACCTATTCATGTTGTAGAAACCTTCTTTTTTCTAGAGCTTCAAAATGAATAATGATTGATCTCTACAGCACACGAGCAGAATTAAAGTCTCAAACTCTAAGAAAATTCAAGTCCATGTTTTTGATTCAGTGTACTACAGATTATTTTTTTTTCTTCCATGAATAAGAGTAAAGTGTTTGAGAGTGCATTGGTTTTACGGTATGGTGCAAACGCAGTTTCTTACTAGGTTTTAACTGTTGCGATGTTGGCTGCCTCTTCTTGAATTTGGGTATACAACTTGGATCTGTCTTCAGGGGTTATTTAAATCTAGCAATGTAACAGAGTATTTATAGATGTTATCAGCCTTTTCCTAAAGAGACATTTGTTAGGTTCCTGTTTAGATCATCTTGTTACTACTTAGAGCTTTCTCTAGCCTTTCTGTTCAGTGAAGTCTGACAAATGGTGCTTTGTAGCAAATACACCATTAAAGCATGCTGGAGTAGTCTGTGATGAGATGAAAACCAGTCAAATTAATGCTATATGTATGTGCTAGCTATCACGGGCAGTGTGTAACTACTTAATAGTATATGCTGGCTTCAGGTTTGAGTTTAGGAACAGGATAAGGAAAGATGTCCATTTAAGAAAGGAACATGGTCTCAAGTTACATCTCAAGAACTTACAGGAGTTCAGAGGGTTTTCTCTTTTCTTAAAAGCACAAGATTACAATTGTTCCAAGTGTGACAGTCTCAAATTGGGAGGGGGAAGAGGGGAGGTGGCAGTGGCAGGGCAGATGGGACATGGACAGCTCAAGCAGTGGAGAAAAAGTAGGCGCAGGGGGAGCAACTAATTTTGCTTAAATATGTTATTTCATTCTAATATGCAGCATAAAGCTTAAATCCCTAAAAAGTTTCAAAGGTTGAGAAATTTTATTTTATCAGCTCTAACAAAGTGACTGCCCAGGAGTTCATTACAGTATCTTAAACTTAAGGATTCTTGCTTCTGAGCGATCTTCAAAACATTTCTACTGTAGTATTGGTAACTGGTTTAAACAGGCCTCAGATAATCTAGTGACTTGCACACTATTTTGTAAACTTGGGGCTTCTTTAACAGAAAATATACAGGTCGTACCCAAAAAGTTTTAATCTAAGGCCCTTGGCCAAGGTCCTTAAACTCTCTCCGTCAGTTCTAAACTTTAATACTATTTCGATGATGTTATGCATACTGTATCAGGACTAAAACCTAGCTTTTCCTTAAAAAAGAGGATAAAAGCTAGCTGCCTTTGGATTTCACAGAAGTAGCTTGGTAAGCTGAGACTCAACTACAAAGAGCTGAGACCTAGTTTGGGGAAGAAACTTAGGAGCGGTTTGCAATTGGACATAGGCTGCTTCTGCTCTTTGTGACATTAGTTATTAGCTGCTAATGTCACTTTTCTAATATTTACTATAGTTACCACACAGAGTAAATTAAGTAAACAGGAAGGGAGGTGTAAAGTTCGAGAGCTGCTGCAACAGACCACATGTTCAGCTATTGTGAAGCATTTAAGGGAGAAATAAATGACTGTTCAGCTAGACCTAAACACTACTTGTCAAATGGGATATTTTGCTTTGCAAATTATCCTAATCCAAATTAAATACAGGCATTAAACAATGATAAGAGTATAACTTAGCATCATTTGGGCTGCTGTTTCTTGCTTGATCATAGTTTAACTTTTCTCATCTTTCACCACCAAATAGGAAGAGACACAGCTATGGTAGGAAGGGCCTGACATGTCATCGTTCCTGTTTCAAATTCTTTGGCAGGAAGCAGAGATGAAAACAACAAATAAAGCTAGAATCTGTATCTCTAATACTTTAAAAAATAAAGGTTGAGATGCTTTTGCTACTTTGGAAGCATACTATTATTTTAGAAACTACAGAATATTCTTAGACTCTGATAATCGGAACCAGAGCTTCAAGTAATGGTTTATTTGCCATATAAATCTTTTTGAAAAACAAAATTTCCTTTGAAATAAGGCAGCTGATGCTAAAACCAGTATGAGTACTGTGCTCTGTTGAAGAGATGTTGCATCTCATCACTGATGGTAGCTTTAGTGATGTTAATTTATATCTAAGCTAAATACATTGTTGCATGAGGTTGTAAGCTTTCCTATGGGAAAAAGGTGTAGCTCAGCAATTTGTTTGAATACATAAATAGACATTTAGTTGAGAGCCCAAAAAACACTGCAGACAGCATTATCATGTTTATCAGCAAAACACTGGTGTTTTAGTTCAGTAAAAGTAACTTTTCTTTTCACTTGAACCTTAGATCAAGAAGAGGGTGGGGGTTTTTTCCCCCTATGATGGGCTTGTATTTGTTGTTTCTCTTCATTTGTTTTGTATTTGTATCAGGTAAGATTTCCCTGTATGATAACTTTTTTTTTTAATTATGCAGGTTGGAGATATTGTGAAAGTTACAAGGATGAATATAAACGGTCAGTGGGAAGGAGAAGTCAACGGTCGAAAAGGGCTCTTCCCCTTCACGCATGTCAAAATATTTGACCCTCAAAACCCAGATGAGAACGAATGATTTCCTCTGCCCAATTTACACTGCTGCTTCATTTTCCTGGCTATCATTAGGATTGTTTGAGGTGGGATGATGACTTAATGGCACATTGCTAGCGTTGCCCGTTTTCCAGCTTGCTGCAGTTCTTTTAATATACATTTGGAATACATACAACTGAAGTCACAGCCTGACCTTCATACCATAGTTACATCATCCAGAATTTAGTTTCACTTTTAAAACTCTATTGGGCCTTAAGCTGGAGAAGACTGAACTAGTATATAGCAGAGAAGTATGGGAAGAAAACCTCTCCTGTTGAGACTTCCATGGACTTTTTCTAGCTTGCTCAGTAGGAAGAGCCCTAATCTTAGATCAAACATGCAATTTGTGCATTACTGTCCAACAAAAAGCAACAACAAAAATGCAATTTTAGGACTGAAGAAGACTTAGTTTTAAGAGAACCTAAGGTAGTACATTTTAAATGATGGTCTCTTTAAAGGACAATAATTGAACCTGATGTATTCTAAGCAGTTGTATCAGAAGCTGCTCTTTTCTGTTAACTCTTAAGCTTGTTGTTGACCTTCCTGAAACAGTGTGTGTTAAATGCAAATAACCATTGACTGAGCTGCATTGAAGCTGAGGCATTTATTTATAAGGAAACTTAGGAGGGGTTCATACTTGTAACCTGTTTTTTACATATGTAACGCATTTCTGTTGATTTTTGCAAGCACTAGCTGTAGAAAGTGAGCTTTAAAGGGAAACACTTTGGCCTGGTCTACATCCAGCCCTTCTGCAGTGTTGAAAGAGTAGTTCTGCTAGTATAGAAGGGCTTGTCTCCCAGCTGTTACTTAGTAGGCAGATTGATCAGATTGCCATGGTGTGGAGAGGTAGGAAAGGAGTAGGACAAAAAAACTTGGTAAATACTGATAAAATCCTCTTATTTAAACATATACTTTTTATACCCATTTCCCTACAGGCTCCCTTATCTCTCCAAAGTTTCCTAGCTGTGCCAGCCCCAGCTTGTTGAAAGCTCTTTTTCAAACACAGTACCTTTTTTCTAGCATGTTTCCACATTGCTGTGCTTCTTTTTTAGAGCTGCTTTCATCTCTCTTTTTCCATCTCTCTTTTTCCTTGCTTGCATCCCAACTCCTCTGCATGCTGCCATCTTTTTTTACCCTTCCAAAGGCCTTGACTGTGGTTTATATATGCCCCAGGTCCCTCCCCCTCCCAGCATTCCCTAGAAAATGGTTAATTGGAGTCAGCTGCCTGGGTTCCCCCATGTGATAATGTTCAGGCTGGAGGAGGCCACAAAGGTGTCTCTTATCAGTGCAGCCTCTTGCCTTTTCTCTGGACATAAGCTATACTGCTGTAATTGTATTTACAGCAGGGAACTATATGGCTGCAGCTAAATAAATGCAACGCATGCCCTGCAGGTTGAGTCCTTGGCCTGTGTGCAGGATATGAAAGCTTATGTGCAGTGGTATCCTGTGCCACCGTCTTTACAGGTGTTTTGTAGGTGACCTAGAATGCTCTTTCAGAAATAATTGAACGCTGAATTAACAACACACATCTGCAAAGAGTACAAGTACCAAACCTCCCTTGTCAGACAGCCTGGTTAAATAAACATGTCTGTTGTAGAAGCTCACAGGAAAACAGCAGCCCCCATTTTTTCAATTTTTGAAGGCTGTCAGTTGTAGCAAAATGAGAAACTTCAGACACCTTTTCTCACCAGTTCTTATAAATGTCAAATTATATAAAAGTTGTTGTCTTAGGTTCTGGCATGTTTTCTTGTTGTTTTGTGTCACTTGATCCTAATAAAAGCACGCTGTGAAAGTGCCATGGGATCCTTCCTTGGGAGGCACTGAAGAAAGGCAAAAATGGTGTCTGCAACAAGACATCCAGAACGCCGGGTTTTTAAAAGTCTCTGTGTTCATCTGTTAGCTCTTTTCTGTAGCATTGATCAAGTGGCTGGCAGTCTAGAAGTTCTTGTAGAGCATTTTACTACCAAATTAACTGTGAAGTAGAGTAGCATTGACTGAAGTGTTTGGTGCTGTAAGAGTAATTCTTGACAATAGGCATTGACATTTTGTCTTGCAAACAAGAGCTATGCAGTTCTCCTAACTGAAGAAGGTCATGCTTTTTCTGAACCCCAACTATACGCATAAGTTTACTACACAGATTGTACTACTGAAAGTCATCTTTTGAGTACAGAGACTGCACTAAACTCAGTCTGCTGCAGATAAATTTTATTTCAGACTTGACCTAGTTACAGGCAGCTCTTCAGAAGACTGATTGTAGAATTCTTCCTTTGCATGGTAAATAAATACTGTGAGATTTGAGATCTTGAACATAGCTTTTAACCTGGATTTTTTTCACTGAAATAAATGTCTTGACTCATCCCCTCATTGAATAAGGTATACACTTGGAACATGAGCCTTGTTTTAGTTGTAACTGTGTTCTCATACTGCAGAAAAGCAAAACACTTTACCTTCAAAACTATGCAAACCTTGTGTGTAGTGGCATCTGATGCAAAGACAAGAATTCTTAAATTTCTGTGAACCTGGTTTTAGGCCACAGACAGTGTTTCTCTGAGCAGCAGCAGTGTGGTTCAGGTGTGTTAAATGTGGTTTAATGTAGCATACTGACCAGCCTCAGCTGATGTACCCTTGCTTCAGAAGGTGTCTTTGCTATTTTCCTATGAGACAAGTATTTTCCTATAAAGATGCATTTGATCAGTGTGTTTGTCTTTGAAGGACTCTGGATTCTCAGTCGCTTGCTTACACATGTGCTGTCTGTTGCATTACGAAGCCTCTTAAATGGGAGTGATAAGCGTTCCTGGGCGTGAAAGGTATACTTCAGATGAAGCATGGAAGCCTGCAAGCGATGGCTTCAATCTATGCACCATTAAAGTTGTTTGTGCTTTTGAACTAGGAGCTGGTTTAATTACCTGGTGCCACAATAATTAACTATCATGAAAGGCTTGCTGTTTGACTTCCTCCTGTTGTGTACATGTGTATATAGACACTGAAGCCTCTGACCAGTCTGAAAGTTTAAATGAAAACTGTTTTAATCAGTGTCCATCACTGGATAAGCGCTAATTTAATTCATGATTGTTTACAAATTGGGAAAGAATAAACAAAAGGGAATATCCTGTTTGGGTTGGGGCTCTGAAGAGCCTGAGCATTATTTTTGTAAAGGGAAAAACAGCATTCTTTGTGCCATTTTGTGTGCCTGTAAAATAATTTTTTATATTGTATTAACATCCTGGGAACGAGTGGGCTGCCTTTGTTTTCTAGTCAAGTTTTCAAGCGTTTTCCTCAATACCTGCATTTGAAAGTGAGACCTGCCTAAAAGACTGCCTTTTGGGACCAGTGAAAGCATTCTTGTAGAGCTGTCATTTTCTGTTTACTTGTGTTAAATGCAAGTGTGTTTTGGGACAAGGATACAATTACTGCAGTGGGAAAGGTGGCCTTGTATTTGAGACAGTCTTCACTGTGTAAACTTTAAAACACAATATGTAATTTAAAGACCATGATCTTCAGGCAATAATATTAAGTGTAAGCTTTTAAAGTTTATTTTGGGGATTATAGCTTGTTTTATTTTTTGTGCTATAAGATTAACAGTATTAAATGAATTATATTCTTAGAATATATGGAGTGTCTTTTCTTAAGATTAGTGCCTTTTTAATTTTTTACTCCACTTATTTCATAGAACTGGTCCCAACATCAAGCCACTGTTTTTTTTCCCAGTGCCCTGTTTGTACAGTCTAAATAAAACTTGCCTCAACTTACAGTATTATTTGTTGGTCATTAGTCTTAAAACCTTGACTATACCAGCAGAGCATTTAACCCTTACTCTGTCAGTGCGATGCCCTGTTCTGTGGGTGAATGAGTGTGCCAACCCAAAGTTTCCAGAATCAAGGGAAGAATTAAGCAGGGGAAAATGCTGTTGCCAGGCTGAGTGATATTCTCTTGTTCCATCCTTCTGCCTCTTCTCAGACTATACTGCTGTGCTCTGGAGGTTCACCTGAAAAAGATGCATCTCTGGTTATACACATTATCGCTGTCTCCTCCACCTTCCCACCCGACACTGCAGTGCTCTTTGTGTTGCTGTATTTAACGCTGCTCTGTTGCCAAGGCTTTTAAGGGTCTCTGTAGGAAGGAACCTTGACCTCCTTTTACTGGGATACCCTTGACTGTGCTTGTAAGAATGACTGGTTAATGCATACGGTTTGAACTGAGCTTGTTATTGTTGGAATAAATAAGGCGTAACCTGTGCAGGTACTGGAGAGTGGAGGGGCTGGCATCTGGCCACTGGTGAAAGGTCTCAGCATAATATATTTATAAATCTGCTTCTGCAAGTCAAAACCAGGAGGTTGTCTTCTGCCTTTTTACAGGCAATCCAGATCAAGAATGGCACCAAGTAGAACTTAAGGGGTTTTTTTAATATTTGGGATCAGTTAAATCACTAACAATGTGTTGAAAGTTGAGATGATCTTATGTAGGAGAAAAACTGAAGAGGAACATCAGACACTCAACTGCTGCGAAGGAGAAGTCGAAAAGCTTGTGTTGTTTCCCTGGACTCTCTGTAGGTATGTTCACAGACTAGTGTTTGTCTTCTCTGGAGTACAGATTTCCATGCTGTGTTAATAAACATTCAGAGCCAACTCTGCATAGTGTCTTATCATCAAATATTCACACGTGGCAAGTTATGTTTCGGAGAAAACCAGCAGTATTTCAGTACTCAAGCAAGAACATGTAAGGTGCACGCAGGAGGCCCGAGAGCCCTGTTTCAAACTCCTTTGCCTGCCTTTTGCTTTCTACCAAAGCCAGAAGTGCTCTCGCCTGTTACCGCAGCTGCTTCTCACGACATGTTCAGGAACTCTCGCTGTGCTATTTACGCAGCAAAGCCCAACGTCCCCGGCTGTACAGCGCTCTGCTCCTGCACACCCACCCCCAGCCACGGGCACGGCAGCAGCGCTGTTCCTGGCTGTGGTGAGCTGCGCACAGTGCACACAAACACAGGTGCTGCGCGTCCTTTCTCATGCAAGGGCGGGCCACCAGCAGCGACGGCAGGGGACGGGCTGGCTGGGCTGGGTTCTGGTGCCACCCAGGCTCGCCTGACGCTAAACTGCAGCATCTACACATGCTTTTATCTCGCTGTGGGGGATGAAGTGCGTTCATAGACAGGGGCTTGGGGAAGTTTGAAACACCTGTGTTCAGAAAAACACAAAAAACTTCATTTGTGCCTCAAAATGCATCAGGTATTGCCACGTATAAATCTGCACCCCTTTGTGTTGATGTGGGGCCACACCACTCTACATTCCCTTATTTCATGATGTTTAGAAATAACTCATTTCTGCCCCTTGGCACAGGAGCAGGTTGCTGGGCTGCTTTGCTGTGGTGCGTTTCAGTTATCAGAAGGGACAAATCCCATAGTCCAAGTGAGTGCAAGGGACTGGGATTTTGTTTCTGCATTTTAAAATGCAGGCTGCTTCCTGCCTGCCCTGGCACAAATCCCCAGCATTCTGCCCCTGACACTGACTGCCCAGGTAACTGTCCGGCTGGGGACCACGGCTTTTAACGCTCAGCTTCTTCCCGGGCTG